GTAGATATGTATACATGTGTGTGTGTGTGTGCATAGATAGATAGATATAGAGATATAGAAATAGATAGTGTGTGGGTGTGTATATACATTTATAAATGTATCTGTATATCAATGTATATACATACATGCATACATACACACACACACATGCACACACACACACACACACACACACACACACACACACACACACACACACACACACACACACATATATATATATATATATATATATATATATATATATATATATATATATATTGTGAGGATATCAGCCCTAATAAAAGCAAATCAACCGAAAGCATAAAAAATCTTGCAGAAACCGGCCGTCGAAATCAACGTGCTATCAGCGAAGCGGTTTGTTTACTAAACTAACAGATACACAACAACCTTCCTTGGATTTTAAAAAGATGCGATGCCTTGCATGCTTTTGTGTGTTTTTGTTCTGTGTATGTGTGTGTGTGTGTGTGTGTGTGTGTGTGTGTGTGTGTGTGTGTGTGTGTGTGTGTGTGTGTGTGTGTGTGTGTGTGTGTGTGTACATATATATATCTGTGCGTGTGTGTGTGTGTGTGTGTGTGTCTGTTTTGTTTTGTTTTTTGCGTGTATGTGTGTGTGAGAGATTTTCCTGCTCTGAAAATGCAAATGCTTTTTATCAGCTGTTTTTTTTCGTGTGCGTATGTTTTCCTACTTCCCGGATTCTGCTTGTCTCTCCTTTTTTTCTCAAATGGAAAGGAGAAAAAAAAGAAAAGAAAAAATTACCTCAAGTCCGCGATACTTGAGCGGCGAGAGCCCTAGCGAAAGACTAAAGGGGGTGGGGGGGGGGAAGCAGTCACTCGAGAAACGCACCGCTTCTTCGAAACTTTTTTTTTCTTATGTTGTTTCTTCTTTTTCTCTTTTTTTCCCTTTCTTTTGTTTGTTTATTTTGTTTTGTTTTTTATTGTATTATTGTTTTCATTTCTTATTTTCATCATTATCTTATTTTTTCTATATTTCTTTATTATCATTGCCACCGTTATCATTATAACTGATACTATCAGCATTTCTATCTTTGTTAATATTATTTTTACTATTATTATCATTATTATTACCACTATCATCATTACCATTATTATCATCATTACCATTATTATCATCAATTCTATCGTTAATATCAATATCACTATAACTTTAATTGTCTTTATTGTTGTCATCACTATTACCATTATCATCATCATCATTATTATCATTATTACTTATTATTATTATTACTATCCTTGTTTTCCTTATTACTATTATTATTAGTGTCTTCATTAATATTAGTATTATCATTATTAACGGTATTATCGTTGTTACTATCATCTTTATTATATCATTATCATTATCACTATTAGCATTGCCTTCATCATCTCGACGAAACTGTTCTCTCTCCTTCACATGATGATGATATCCATATATATATATATATATATATATATATATATATATATATATATATATATATATATATATATATATATATATATATATATATATATATTACATAAGTAATAATGATAATAATGATGATGATGATGATGATAATGGTAATAGTGATAACAACAATAAAGACAATTAGAATTATAGTGATATTGATATTAACGATAAGATTGATGATAATAATGATAATGATGATAATGGCAATATTAATGATAACCATAGTAAAAATGATAACAATAAAGATAGAAACGCTGATAGTATCAGTTATAATGATAACGGTGGCATCTTCACTGCTTCTTATACACAGTGCCTCATCTACAGTGCCTTTTATGTACAGTGGCATTATGGCTGATGCACGCAAAAAAGGCTTCGTCAAACCGCTTGTAATAAAGGATTAACAGAGACAGGGCTTTGTCCCGGATATTAATGATGAAATGTGGAGACCTGACAGGTATTGACGGCTTCCTGAGTACGGGGGAGGAGGGGGGAGGGGAGAGGGTGGTGAGGGAAAAGGAGGGAGAGGATGATTAGGGAGAGAGGGTGTGGGGAGGGAGGGAGGGAAGGGAGAGGATGGTGAGGGAAGGAGGGAGAGAGGATGGTGAAGGGGTAGGAGGAGAGTGGGTGAGGGAGGTGGGGGGGGGGGAGAATGGTGAGGGAAAAGGAGGGGAGAGGATGATTAGGGAGAGAGGGTGAGGGGAGGGAGGGAGGGAAGGGGAGAGGATGGTGAAGGGGTAGGAGGAGAGTGGGTGAGGGAGGTTGGGGGGGGATGGTGAGGGAAAAGGAGGGGAGAGGAGGATTAGGGGGAGAGGGTGAAGGGAGGGAGGGAGGGAGGGGAGAGGATGGTGAGGGAAGGGAGGGGTGAGGGGGTAGGAGGAGAGTGGGTGAGGGAGGTGTGGGGGGGCGAATTAAGGGAGTGGAGGCGAGTGGGTGAGGGAGTGAGGGGGAGATGAGTGAAGGGAGGAGAGGGAGGAGAGGAGAGTAAGAGGGTAGGTGGAAAGTAGGTGAGAGCTGGGAAATAGGGAGGGAGGGAGGGAGGGAGGGAGGG